GTCTCTAATAAAGAATATGTGCGATTTAAATATTTAAAAATGATCAAACAATTATAATAAATGATTAAATTTTGTAGTATATATATACACATGACAACATGATATATTTAGTGAGAAGAAATTTTTTTATATATAAAAGTGAAATGAATAAATTTTAATCTTCAAATTTCATTATGAACAGTTAAAATTAAAACATACAAGTCATGTAAATTTCATAATATTTTAAAGTAATTACGTGAGTTTTTAAATTTTATAATGTTATGTACTTCTTACAGAGAAACTTATTTCATTAATTAAATTTTCATTATACATATGTTGGAACTTGAATGGAAAATGAGAAATGGCTTGAATTGCTGTGTAAAGTGTGAACTTGACCAAAAAGAGGCATTAATTATGAGCAATGGCTATGTCACACTGATCTTATCTCTATTATTAGTTGTGGAGTGGAAATGCATGATTCTGTCACTCAGTCACACGTTCAATTCGACATGACAATCCTTCTACCAATACAAACAACTCAGAAAATCTCTCTGCACTATCCCATTATTTTTTCTAAAGCCAATAGCCGAAAACCGAATAATCAGCTTTATTTTTTTCTGCTCAAAATTGTACAATGATGCTTTTCATGGTGACCCTGTTTGCTCTTTCTTTTTCACTTTTGACGGATTATTGAAACAATGCAATCTTTTAGTGAGTTAACATTTCAAAAGACTTCAAAATGAATGGATGTCCTTCTGCCTAACCCTGCAAGATGCCAAACTTGGTACGTGAGGATGATCAATTATAAGGAGTTGCATTGAATCATGCCTTTGCTTTTTTTTTTCCTTGTTTTCTTTTTCATTTTCCTAAGTCTTGTCACTTTTTAATTAACTAATGGACGTACTTATCTTGTTAATTAATCTTATTTTAGAAAATTGTTTGGTGGAAATTTTAGAATGATTTCATTTTTCTAAATCTCCATCCAATCACTTGTTCAAACTAGCTAGCCTCCACATAATTGAGAATTGTGGAGGAAATGGAGAAACTGGGTTTCAACATTGGTTTATATTTCAAACAATATCATTAACAGCCTCCATGTGGAACGGCTGAAATTGAAAAAATTTCAATGCCCTTTAACGTGCTTTGATTTTTTATAAAATAAAATTACAACTGTCCATCGTTGGAGACAAAATTGATCGTAGACCTCTCAGTGCCAATTCAAACAAGTCTTAAGTTGTGGTTAATTGCAATAGCCAAAGATGGAAGCAATTTCATTCACTTTTACTTTGAAAGAGTGGTAGATCCAGAATTTTCAAACACATAAGGTTACACCAATGTATATATACATGATACATGTAATATTGAGGAAAAAAAGATAAAACTTTGGTGAAAATAGTGAAAATTGATTATATGTTACTATTTTATCTTCATTTATTGTGTCTCGGTACTAGCGAAAATTGAAGGAGCCAAGGGAAAGATGAATTTTTGGATGTATCTGATCAACTATCAAGACCATCATCATGTCTTCATATGTTGCTGCGTGGAACATAATTTTTATCATGTAGCACTTATATCTGTTATAGAAATAATGGTATCCATGACAATTTCAGTGCGTTTCCTTGTGTACTCTTGGATAAAATGTTATACAGCTTTACAAAAATATGTTCAAATTTATATCACCAAATGTATCTAGATCCACTAAAAAAGGTTCAACATGCAATCCACATTTATGCATGCAAGCCTGCAAGCGAAACAGATACAGCAAAAATTATGCCTTTTCTTACTAGGTAGAGTTGCTTACATAGATTACATCATAGGATCCTATTATGAATTTTGTTAATAGATTAACTATTGACTTCTAAATTCTTCTTAACAGTTTCACTAGTAATTTTCTTTGGCCTCTCATTGCTTTGAACAATTAGGGGGAAAAAATAAGAAAAAATTCCCTGCATGTCATACTTGTTAGTATACTATTTACATGATTTTGATGTTGTGGCACAGACGGGGGTTAAAAATACAGAGAAAATTCTCATAAATAGGTCATGAACAAATCACTTAAACAGATTGAACATCACATAACCAGAGCTTTAAGATAATAAATTATTAGTCATGGTTACTTATGTGTTGCTTTAACTTCTTTATTTTTATATAATGTGAGACTTTTTCACTCAAGTTTATTACCTCTACAGAAGTAACGAGAGATCAATCCTATTGTTTTGTAAGTGCTACCTGTACTTGGAATGAAGCTCTAAAATTCTACTTCAATTTCATGTTCAGCTAAAGGAACATATAATCTCTAGTCCTTCTGTAACATTTCTGATTCATGTATCCAAGAAAAAGCATTACGTGAATAATGTAAACTTAAAAACCAAATCCTCCAAATGGATATCATCACTCTGACTTCAATAAACAAGATGACTCACATCTCTTTACCAGTCATAATTCCTTCAACGGATTATGATATCAATTCACATATTGGAAAACTCGAAAAGCAAAAACTATATATGTATCAAGTGATGATCATGATTGGCATTGTGTAAACCAACCCAAATGGATGAGAAGAGTGAAGACCTGGACTGAAGATCCTGACTACGCTTGTTATTGTTATGCATCAATCAAGCTGAATTTAGCTTCATTAATGGGCCAAACCCTTTTCATGTATGATTCAATGAGCTGATTTTAAAATATGTTTAGCAAATATGATGAAGGGGAAAGAAAGAACAAAGAAGAACCAAAAAGAAAATAGAGTTTACTGTTAAAAAAGTGGGGAAAAAATTAACTAATAACATCCAAAGGAAAACTTAATGATTTCTTTGTATATCTTCCTTCGACTTTTGTTGTGGAATGGAATTACTAATAGGATTAGGCCCTGAATGTACTTCATGCAATTTCCTCTGAGCATGATCCCTCTCAGCTTCTCTTGACTGACACAAGAAAATATGATAAGAATGACTTAGCAACACTGATATTAACTACTTATGGATCATATCAAAGAAATTATGTACCCACTTTGTGATGATGATCTGTTGCTGCTTCAGTGACTTGCTGAATCATTATTCTCATGGTCATGCTTGGATATAGGAAAAAATGGGATACCATGAGAATGATAAGAAAGCAAGAAGAATAGTTCATGGTTTTTGTTTCATAGAAGAGGTAGACATGCAGGTTTAGAGAAAAAGGATTAGTTAGGATCCATTTGTAGCTTATGGCAATTTAAAGGAAAACGCATGTTTTGAGGCATTCAATAAAGGGAAATTCGCATGGTGTGAGGGTAACACTAGTCATTGGAAAAAGGAAAAATATATGTTCACACCTATTATTTAAGTGTAAAGTTGGGAAGACAAAGATAGGAAGAAAAAACAAAAGAGATGGGACTGATGATATGATAAAAAAAAATTTAAAAAGTAGGCGTAGAAATTTAAAACTTATTTTTAAAAAATAAGAATAATCCATACATTTGCTTGGCATATGTTTGAAAGACTAATCTCACTTGTTTCGTAGGCTATATAAGTGTTTTTTTTCCTACAAAATGGGGACTATTGTTTTTCTTAATCAAAATTTAAATTAATATTTTTCCTTTTTGAAATAAAGAACATATTTCAGTGGAAATATGCAGTTTAAATTATTTTGTATATACATTTTAATCATATTCAATAATTTAAAATTAATTATACCCAATTTTAAAATCAACGGCCACCAAACTGGTTTTTTGCTTTTGATAAATCATATTTTTTTTAAGTTCTTTGAGAAAGCTGAGATTAAAAAAAAAATTATTTTTCAGAAATAAACTTAATTGAATATGCACTTGTACGTACTAGCAACAATTAAAGAAATTTCGAATTTTCGTTGGATATCTTTGCAATTATGCCTCAATATAAAAGACCCGAATATATAAAATATATTAAAACTCACTTATAAAACTAAAACAAACACTAATTGAGTTTTGCATTTAGAAAGATTATGTTTTAGCTTTTATACATTATAAAAATTGAGGTTTAATTAATATTTTTTTATGATGCATGAATATAAAAAAAGATTAAGAGAAAGAGAGATATAAAAATGATAATACATAGTATCAATCTTTAATTGTTAAAATAACAGAACTGATAGTATAGGCCCTGCATCATTTGTCAGTACAAGCTCACACCTTGTGTATAGTGTGCCTAGTTTACCTTACGAGGAGTGGAAGATCAACAATTCATCTACCACAAAACACTTGGCTATCTCTTTTTTATGAAAGAGATCCTGTTGATTTATTCAATTGGTATCATTGGCCATCCTCTACCTGAAGAGGTTCGAAAATCAGCTGCACCTCAACCAGACAAGGTGCATATCCTTCCAAGAAAGTTTATTCAGCACCCTTTCTTTTTGTGGGGGTATTGGTACCTCTCAACATTTTGTGGTTAATATTTACTCATGTATCCCAATTACATATTAATACATCAAATTATTTTTTCTATTTATATTTGATGAAAATTGACGTTTCACTTAGGCTTCCCTTTTATCAAAGCCAAATCTCAATTTAATTAACACTAAGAGATCCACTACCATTAGATGTGCTTCATAAATCATATTAAAAAGAGAGAATATCGTGACAGAGAATGGCATTGTGTCAGTGGCTGGAGTTAGAACCAGTTTTAGCTTGTTTATATTCAAGTTATAAATTGACCGAACAAAAAAATATTCATGTTATAAATGAATGTTTAAAAGTTTTAACAGAATTTACTACTAATAAAATTAAAAACGTATATTCATTGGCATCGACGTGAAACCACAAATCCTAAATTAGGAGTAGCTTTCTCTATTATAAACGTGTATGACTCCGTACCGAAACCGAAACCCACATGTACTCTCGAGAACTTGCTACGATTGTTTGGTTGGAGATGTGCGATTGTTTCCCAGTATGTTTTATCTTTTGTTGTCTCCTTTCAGTTTTTTAGGCTTGAAATTTTCATTTTACATAATGCAATATAATCTGTTTTTCTACCATTGTCCGAATCATGCAAGATGAAAAAATTAATAATCGATTTTTTCGACACTAAAATCAATGTATAGTGCAATTGAACAGATTACCTTTGGGCATTTTCACTTTTTCCAAATAACCTACAGGAAGTTCCTTATTTTCTTTCCTTGATTTTTTCTCTTAAACCAAACATCTCACATAAAAAACATTTTTTCTCCTCTTCATTTTCTCGCTCCATTGTCAAACAAAAGGCAAGCGTATAGCCCAATCTTATTACAATGACAACAGTTTATTATGTTGAAGAATCCATCTGCAGAAACGCTCTTTCAGAACAAGTTATCGTTGCTGCCATTTTCAAGGGTGCTTTTCCCTCTGCACACACAGTTATTCTGTTCCTGATAGTCCAAATTGTGACATCTGAGAACCAAAAGTTGGATTATTATCAGTCACCGAAGAAACAAGATGATTGTTTTTCAAAACCTCACTAATTTGTATCTGTAGTTTAAACCAATTAATAATAGTATCGCGAACTTATGGATTTCTCCTATTTAAGCACTAGCTGCTCATTTTGTAATGACAAAGAACATTTAATTATAGTCAGGAACATTCGAAAATTAATTGTCAATAGCAAGGAAAACAACAGTTGAATAGCATATAAGATACTGACACCAGGCATTTTCTCTGGAAGTTTTAATTACGGTTTTTCAATAAACAAGAACAAAACAGTAAATCAAAAGAATGAAACAAAGATATAGACCTTTAGCAAGTATTGTCATTGACAATTAAGAAGATCAAGAACAGATTTCCTATCGGGCATGCTGGGACTGGCTCCCTTCACTTGAACGCAAAGACAAGCTGCAGCAGCTGTTGCGAAACATGATAATTAGGCACATTTTTCCAAATAGAAAATTCCAGAAAGGAAAAAGAAGTGCATTCTGCCATACATACCCGCAAATCTGAGGCATTCCTTTCTGGACTTGCCCTCAACTAAGGCCACAGCAAAAGCAGCGGTAAAAGTATCCCCAGCTCCAGTTGTATCAATGACTGTTTTAGCTAGTATGGCAGGTTGCTGAATTGGTTTTTCTCCTTCTACAAAAAGAGCAGACCCTTTGTCCCCTAGTTTCACAAGAACTTGCTTAACTCCCTAAAATTTCAAAAATTTAAGGAAGATAAATAACCCCAGAACTAGAACCACTGAGACTACTATAATGGTCATGGTGACAAAAGCATCATTCCATCAGCCCTCAAGAATAAACCAAGACATTTGAAGAAGATAAATTCTGAGACTTCCAAATTTAATGCACAGTCATAGAGAGACAATGAGGAGAACATACAACAAATAGCAAAACTCAATAGTTTATTGATCAATAATGCCTTTCTTCCTTATAATGTACCCTTATGGTGCAGTTAATTGGATTTAAGGAAAAGAGAATCAAATAAAAATTGTAACCCCCTCCCCCTCCCCCTTTCTTTTTCCCTAGAAGGCTGTAAATACCAAGAAGATTCAGCAGCTCCAATCCCCTCAACATAAAAGAGTGAAAGCTCAGAAGCTCATTTAGGAGATAATGCCACCAGCTATCAGAATATATGACTGTTCTGTATAGGGATCAATAATGAATAACTACACGACGGTCATTTCTTTCGACAATGACACTATTGATGCCATCTAAGCAATAAAACAAGCATGCACACGCCACACTAGGGAAGGGCTATTGCTAACAGAAAATCTCAAAGCTGGATCACATTTTCAAATATTATCCTTAGGCAATGAATATGGCATTCAAACAGCAAAATGTGCAAAGCATTATTTCAAGGTGATCCCTAAGTTTAAGGCACTCCTCAAACTCACAAACTTATGGCATTTCACAACAGCCTGTGTAATCTCTTCAAAACTTTCAGTCGGCATTCCCGTAAGGCGACCAAGTTCAGTTTCATTAGGACTCAGAATATCAACAAAATTCAATAATTCCGGCGGAATAGGTGCATCCATGCCCCCAGCATCCAATATTACCGGCACACCAGCACTTCTTGCAGCCTGTAAATAAATACAATATAACAGAATATCCAGGATCCAATTAATGCTCAACCTCCACAAGAAACTCGAAACAAATAAGAGTTCATCACTCTAATTTTTTAACTTTTTTTTCTTATAAAATACGAAACAAAATGAACGTAGTTTTCTTAAAGTAGGAAAAGATTTTACAAAGTAAAACCAAGAAAGCACTTACGTGAAGGACTAAAAAGGCGTTTGGGATATGCTTGGTTTCACGTTGAATTTGCATGTAATCACATTCTTTTTTATTATAACCTAATTCTGCAAAATAAATTGATTTTTGATTTTGCCTTCAAATTCTAGTCTGAACTAAGGCATAAACTGCCACTTTTCCGTTAATTTAAAAAAATTTATGTCAAATTTTACCACGAATTTTCTTTTCAGACAAAAGTCTCTGAATATAATTCACTACCCCTTTATTTTCATAAAATCAATTCTACAAAATCAATTTTCATTCAAACTCAATTTTACAATCCCTCACGCAACAAGCACATACGAAGTGAAGAAAGAACCTTTGCGACTTGAACGTTAACAGGGTCGGGAATCTCTCTCTGTAACAAAACGATGCCAGCGAGGGCCACGAGGTCCAAATGATGACGTGGCAGGGTAGTGGGCCAGCCACTCAAGTTGGCACCCCCAATGTAGATTATGGAGTTCTGGCCGTTAGACTGGAGCATCACTACGGCGTGACCCGTTGACATTGATGCAACCACGGTGACGTTATCAATGCAAACCCCACCGTTACGGAGAGCCTCCGTGACCAGCTTCCCATAAGCATCGTCCCCAACCTGTCCAACGAAGTGCGTCGGGTACGAAAGCCTCGCCGAACACGTGGCCTGGTTCGCACCCTTGCCGCCGGCGAGTGTCTGGCCGGACTTGGCGGCGAGAGTCTCGCCCTCGCGCGGAAGCCGATCGATCTCGACGTAGATGTCGGCGTTGGCGGAACCAATAACCACTAGTGGCGGCGATGATGAGGAGGGGTTGGAAGCGGAACAGAGGAGTGGGAGATTGTGGTTGTGGTGTTGGTGGCGGAAAGAGATGAATTCGATTTGGGAAAGTGTGGGGAATCTGGTTCTGTTTGAGGGTTTGAAACACTGGTTTGGAATTTGCGGTGAGAGTGTTGTTCCGCTCATTTCTTCTTCTCGCCGCACCTTTCCCCTTCGCTGTCAAATGTCGCAGTCTACGGGGTGTGATGTGTTTATCACTCTTACTTGGAAAATCAACTATTCTTCGTTTTTTTATGAAATTCATTTTGAAAAGATATTTAATATATTTGGAAATGCAAAATTATGAAGTGATTAGACTTTTTTTTTTATTTAATCACAAAACACTTCTAGAGTTAAACTTGTGAAAAATATATTTTAGAATTAAATGTTTAAAAATTATGCAAAAGCATACTAGTGCGGCCAACAAAAAATGGTATAAAAAACAATTTTCTCTTCTTGTTTTACTAACTTATCATGATTTCAAATTAAGTTTAATGGTTTTGTGTTTAAAAAATAGATTCGAGGTATTTTGAGAACAGATTGAATTTTTTTTTTTTTTTGAATTATCTAATTAGATATCTCATAATTTTTAGTGTGTGTATATATATATATATATATATATATATATATATATATATATATCTTAATAAGACTTGTTAATTTAATGAAGCATAGATATCTCAAATCGCACTTACAAAGGCACCATGCTCATGCACATTCACATTCTTGTTTATGTTGAGACAGTAGAGTTAATTTTAAGTTATCCCACTTGGGTTGTTGTTCTTTTATGATTTGGGCCAGCTTGTATAGAGATTATCAATGATGAAGTTTTGGGCCTGGGAGAGAGCCCATAATCTATTTTTCATTTTGTTTGCTGTGAGATTCCGTTGTTACAATGACTTATTTGTTTTCAAGCAATAATAACAAATAAATGTAGTTAGTTAAGTTGCTGAAAATTTTTAGAAAATGGATTTTGTTATAGATATATAAATTAAATAGTAAAAATACGTAAAGCAAAACATTTCAAAGTATCTTGTTTGATTTAATTAATTAAGAAATTGTATTTCTTATCTACCATTGTCCATTTTGTTTGATGCATACCATTTGTATTAATTTCAGTGGGTTGTTATACGTGTTTTTTTTTTTTTTTTATTTAGTATACATGCACACATTTAAATTTTTTTTAACTGTATTTTTTTATAATCATATTTATTGGGGTTTTTTTAAATAAATACTAAATTTTAAAATGTCATTTTTATTAAAAAAAATTAAATTTTTTTTTATAATATATAAGTTGCATGAAGTTAAAACAATTATAACTTACACACGAATCACATCATTTTGAGTAACTTATGTTCTGTTTTAAAACAAATACAGTGATACTAACTTAAATATGTCTTATACTGACAATTTATGTTTTATTCTCAAATAAATACATCTTGTGTTAACCTAGAACATGCGTATATAAAAAAAGAAAAAATATAATCTGAAATTTCACATAAAAATATACATTTAAAGTTTTGTATTTTTTTTATAAAAATTAAAATATCTTGCAATAATTTATTAGTTTTATTTACATCATCAGAAAGTATTATCAAAATTTTAAACATTTATTTTACGGCTTATATTATCTTTGAATCTTTTATAATAATGAATTTTTTAATTCAATTTTTTTTATTTCTAAAAAGGGTAAACTAACTATCTTTAAGGTCACTATTCACTAATAATGCAGGCAATAGACTTAACTTTTAGAATAAATGTGTTGATAATTGAGCTATAGTTTTTTTCTCTTTATTTTAATCAACGTAAAATTACACTTTCAAAGTTAATATCATTTAAAAAAGACTAAATTTTAAATAAATTTTATAAAATATCAATATTTAATAAACTATATTTATGATTGTAAAATTTTTTTTCATTTTAATTTTATTACTATCTCGATTGTACTCATCATTAACAATATTTTAATTGTTTATAAGTTTTTAGAAAGAAGGAAAGTACGAATTTGAGGATTAAAAAAAACTTTTAATTTAAGAGAATTTAAAATCATATTTTTTTTTAAAAAAATAGAATTTTTAAATAAAAAATTTCATTAAATAATATTTTTCTTAAATTTAGCCCCAAACAAAATTTTGATGAGAAAAACATAAACAGCATTATGTATTAATAATATGGTTAATGAAAATGTTGGTGTTATCGGTGAAGATGTATTGTTTAGCGTAAGCTTTGTTTGTCTTGACATTTGAAAGTTTCATGGATTGGTTGAGTTGTCGAAAATCGTAGAAAGTGATATGATTGTATATATTGTGATTCTTGATTTCACTGGTTATCATGGAGCAGTCCAGATTCCATCAACCTACCCAAGCATCAATAAAATATTCTTTTTCAATTATTAAATTTCTGGCCCAGCTTATCTCAACTCGATGAGAATATCAACTCTGACAAGGAAAACTAAATTAAAAATCCAACATAATCTATAAAATCTACCCTGAAATAATATTGATAGTGCCTCGTAGTATGATAATACTGATGAGATGATAGTAATTATAATTGTAATAATTAATATAACAATAATAATACTAGTATTAATATTGCTAGTGATTAATGGTAGGACAACGATAAAACTAATAATAATAATTAGTAAAATATGTACATAATGAGATTATAACAGTTAATGGTGATAATGTAGTAACAAAAATATAATAGGATAACAATAATTATAAATATGATTATAATAATTATAGTAAGAAATAACTATTATAATATTAACGATTGTGACAATGATAATAAAAATATTTGTTGGTAATACTATGGTAACAATAAAGATAAAAACGATAATAATGATAAAGATAATATTTGTTAGTTGTAATAATAATTATTTTTATTATAAATCACATGTAATAACAATGACAATAGTAATAAAAATGATAACGGTGAAAAAATAATATTTACATATGATATGAGAGTAAAAGTGAAAAAAAAAACCCATTTGATTCTATTAATTCAACTATCTTTTTCTTAAGATTACTTGTGAATTGATTGGATAAAATAAAATATAAAATGGTTGATAGTAACACATATAATTTAATAAAATAAAGTAAATATATTAATATTTTGCATTATATCTTTTAATTGTTTATAAATTTGTAATTTATTGATTCTGTTAGTAAACTTATAAAATTGTTTAATAAATATAAAATAAAAAGAGTTTGAAATTCTTAAAAGTTAATTTTTAAAAATTATTAAATTAGTATTAAATTTTTAAATTTTAATTACTAATATTTCTATTATATTTAAAAATAATAATTTATCATTTTATAATTAAAATATTTCATATACACATTAATCTAATCTTATTGTTTTTAATTTTTTTCTTCCTTCACACTAGATTTATTTTTTTTATTTTATTCATATGTTTCATTGTCTCTACTCTCTAAATATATTTTATATTAAAAAAAATACATGACTTAAAATATTTCAGGCTTAAATATATACACAATTTTTTTATTATATATATATATATATTCAATTAATTGATTATGAGTAAATAAAATAAATAATAAATAATTTTAATATTACATTAATATAATATTATATATTTTCTTAAATCATTTAATATAAATTATTAAATTATATAAATAGTTTGTTAAACAATTTTAATTATATAAATTATTTATACAGTTATAAATTTTCAAAATTTTAGCTACAAGTTTCAATTATCATCACCGGTACAAGTTATAAACTAATGAATTTTAACTATTTTTTTGGTTTATTTCAGTAAAATATAAAAAAAAAACCCATAAAAATAAACAAATTGACTAAAGAAAGAGTTTTTTTGTTTTGTTTTTGGTAGAAAAAAAAATTAAATTTGTATTCTTATTTTAAAAATAATTATATTCTCATTAATAAAGATATAATATTTATTCATTAAAAATATATATATTTTTATCACATTTATCTGCTACCAAACCATTCGTGAGAATATATTTCAGCCTAGATGTGCCATTATTAGGCAGTAAACGTGTTTGACGCCCACGCTCTTGTGCACACACGATGACGTATACATTTAGTGGTAGACGGACACAACAAACTCACCTAATATTCTTTCGTCCTTTTAAAAAGAGAGTTAACACCTTATTCTTAAGGAAAAATATATAGCCCAGAGATTTTAATAATTTTATAATTTGTCAAATACATAATATTAGTGAGTATTTAGGCAGTATTAAAGTGTTCGTAAATATATGCAAAATATGTAAATTGAATTTTAAAAAATATTTTTAAAAATTTGGTTAATTACTAGATTTTTTTAATGTTGATTAGATGATTATGAATAAAGAAATTAAGAAAAATTGAATATTTTTTTTGTTGAATAACTAATTAAATAGAAAATAATTAATTTAATTTATTATTAGAGTCTAGATTACATGTACGGAAAAAAATTAGAAATGCAAGTTTTATTTTTTTCACTTTTAAGAACATTTATCATAAAAGGGGTAAAATGTGCATTTTACTTCAATTTTAAACATTAATGTTTCAATCAACCATTACAATTCTTACATAATAACACTAATGCTTTACTTGTTACTGAAAAAACACTAATATTAACTAGGAAGTGAAGAGCAAATGAGAGAAGAAAATAAATAAATAAAAAATTAGATAAAGACAAGAATGAGGAAAAATAAAAGAATAATTTGAACCAAACACACGGTATATGAAATGCATTCCTCACTTCACAATAAAAGAAAAATCAATCAATTTAATCTTTCAAAAGAACTAAATTGAACATCACTTATATTTTTTGAAAGAAAAAATAATATTTCTTTTAGTATCTTTCTAATAAGTGTCTTTTAAATATTTTTAAAAAATTAATTAAAAATGATATTAAAATATGTTAAAAATAATATGAATAATTATATTTTTTACTTTAAATTTTTTAATCAATATACTAACAGTGCATATTAACATTTTCCTAATTTTTACATCTATAAAAAAATCAGGCCTTTTCAACCGTTTACCTCATGTATTTATTACTTAAAAGCCATCAACTGGTCATATAAATTAGGGGTGAGGGTGTTTGCACTCTGCACACCGTTCATACTTGAAACCTCCATAGTAACCAAATTGAACTGAGGAAGATGGAGCGTGAGGCCACCGACTCACGAAAGCAAGCGAGGTTGGCCATTCTCGAATTGGCCAACATGATAAGCGTTCCCATGTCCCTAAACGCCGTCGTTCGCCTCAACGTCGCCGACGCCATCTGGCAAGGTGGCTCCAACACCCCCCTCTCCGCCGCCCAGATCCTCGCTCGTGTTCTCCCCGCCGGCGGCGACGCCGAGAACCTCCAGCGCGTGCTCCGCATGCTTTCCAGCTATGGCGTCTTCGAGGAGCACGTCGCCGGCGGCGAACGGAAGTACTCTCTCACCGAGGTTGGCAAAACGCTCGTCACCGATGAGCAAGGCCTGTCCTACGCGCCTTACGTGCTCCAACACCACCAGGTCAGCTCCTTAATTAATAATAATTGTTTCAAATCACATTTTTGTTCCTTATTGTTATTTTTACAGTGTTTAGGAAAATGTTAATCTCTTCCCTCAAGTTCTTATTTAACGCGTTGTTAGTGATGAAATAAAAATTAATATATATTAAGATTAATTTGTTTTTATTAAAATAATATTTTAATTTTAAAGACAAAATTTAAATATTCTATTCAAATTAAAATTAGAGTTTTATTTTAGTACAATAGAACTCTTTTTAATACATTTTTAGCTATTAATTATAATTAAAATTTATAAAAATATAAAAAATTAATTTTAATACGTTGAGTACTGTAATTTTTTTTTTATAACCTTGACTTTCATAGCTGGTTGGTAGGTGTAAGTAGAAGGTACCTTAATTAAGGGCCAATTAAATGTGTGATTATGATATTCAGGAATGAAAAAAGAAAGATTTATGATTTATGATTATGATTATTTTTAGTAAAATGATGACATTTTGTGAGAAAGAAATGAACAAGCAAGTGAGAAAAGGCAATAGATTAGATTAGGATACGGTATCTTAACGGGGAAAGTATGTGTGCAGGATGCGTTGGTGCGAGCGTGGCCATTGGTACACGAGGCAGTGGTGGACCCCACAAAAGAGCCCTTTGAGAGGGCCAACGGAGAGGCAGCGTATGGGTACTACCTGAAGCAACCAGAGATGAACGAGCTTATGCTTAAGGCCATGTCAGGGGTGTCAGTGCCCTTCATGAGGGCCATGTTAGAGGGCTACCACGGCTTCAATGGCGTGCATAAGCTCGTCGACGTCGGTGGTAGTGGCGGCGACTGCCTCCGTATGATCCTCCAGAAATACCCCTCCATTAAGGAAGGGATCAACTTTGATCTCCCAGAAGTAGTTGCCAAAGCACCACAAATTCCGGGTAAGCTGCGTTTCCATTTTATTAGATTTGGTGAGATTCAGTTGTGGTCACATATGAATTATAATTTGCAGGGGTAACCCATGTGGGTGGTGACATGTTCAATTATATTCCCCAAGCCGATGCAATCTTCATGAAGGTGCGTGTTACTCCATTTCTCCAAATTACGTGCCTACATGTTTTTATTTTTTGGTTGATAGTAAACTTAAGCATTCACGGACTAGAAAAAACAAAATTGTACTCCCAAATATCTGTTCTCTTGCATAATTATTATCACCATGAAAAATAAAACAAAATATCTTGTGTAGAACGTACTACAGCTCCATTAGGCTGTAATCTGTCCAATTGTTTTTAATGTTAATATGCTAATTTTTTATTTTTTATACACCATTTTTATTTTTTAATAAATATAAATAACACATTTTAGTGATAAAATTGTGAAGCGAGCGTAACGCTTTACTATCTACATTATTGAAGTCATGAGAAACTTGACGCAATCGATACTCACCACACATAGCTGATATCTGTTTTCCTTTTCAATATTCATTATCACCTTTATTCCCTTTATGGAGTTATAAAAATATAAATCGCTTTACTCAATTAATGTTTATTTTAATATAAATAAATTTATAATAATATATCTCATAGACCAATTACAACTTTAATCCAGTAAAACTTCATTGTCAATTAAAGGTATGCATAAACGCATTATGTTCTGCTGATTGGATTGAACAATGAACATGTTTTAAGGACACGTTTGAGTTACTTTAAACCGGCTCAACTTGATTCCACATTTATATTTTTATAAAATTTATATATATATATATATATATATTAATATTATTTAATTAAAAATATATACTATAAAATATATTTTAATTTCACATATCTTTAATTCTATAACTTAGCACATGTTTTCAACTTTTTTATTAAAAATTAATTGTTTATTTTTTAAAATATTTTAAAAATTTAGTAAAATTAAGTTATCATTCTTTCCAAAATAAATTAAACTAACCACAGTTATATGTAATAAAATTCATATTTTTAGGGAAAATTATATTTATACTCCTTGAAGTTTAACAAAATTTCATTTGATACCCTTTATTTTTTTTATTGCTTTAACCTCCTCTGATTTATATAACTGCATAAGAAATTAAAGATGATTTTATATTCCGAAAAGATATGTAGTGTTATGTTATTACATAAATTGAATAATATCCACGTAAAATTAAAAATAATTGAATAAAATTTTGTTAAACCGGTATGAATGTAATTTATCCTATATTATATCACCAAACCAGGTTGACCAGTTCTGTCTCATATATTATCCAATCAGGTCAAGCTAAAGTTTAAGTGAGTAATAAGATCAAAATTATGTATACCCTTATTTATTGCCAATAAATTGCTGAGTTGTGTAGTTTTGTGACATATGTTATGGGTATTGTTTGGCAGTGGGTGCTTACAACATGGACAGATGAGGAATGCAAGCATATAATGCAGAACTGTCACAAGGCACTCCCAAAAGGAGGCAAGTTAATTGCTTGTGAGCCAGTGCTGCCAGAGCATTCAGATGAAAGTCACAGAACCAGGGCATTGCTTCAAGGTGACATATTTGTGATGACAATCTACAGAGCCAAAGGAAAACACAGAACTGAAGAACAGTTCAGGCAACTAGCCATTTCTGCAGGTTTCCCTCATTTCAGAGCCTTCCATGTTGATCATTTCTACACTGTCCTTGAGTTTCAGAAATGAATGCAATTGCTTTGCTATGTTTCCATGGTTTTTTTTTTAAGGCAGAATTATGTGGTTAGTGTTATTGTGATATTGTTTTTGTCTACGGAAACCATGATGTTGGAACAAAATTGTCAGGAGCAGTGGGACACTTTTTTTAGATATTAATAATTGTTGCTTAGAAATTCGCCTGAGATAGCAGACAGAATAGTACAGCACCCACTTAGGTCCTATTATGTCTCTCAAATAAGATAATCTTACCTTTGCAAAATAAACATAGAAAAGCAAGAGTTGTACCAAGATATAGAATTCATGTCCATACATAATAATAATAATAATAATAATAATAATCAACCTTTGTTTAAATTATTTATAAAATGTTATGGGTGAAATTTAACATTTTTAAAATAAGATGTGTAAAGTAACTAAAAAAATTAAAGATGTATTTATGATGATTTAAAATAAAAAATTAATTTAAATTAGTGGTAAATGTATATAAAAACAGTGTTCGATGCATTGTGAGAAAAAATACAAATAGAATTCTGTTATACAATGACCGAAGTTATAGAATAATTTTTTGTTCATGCATGTCAAATGTTTTTCTTTTTTAAAATTAATTTTTTTTAGAAGAGGGTTTATAATTAGATTTATGGTTTGAAATTCAAGAACGTTTACTTCTATTTTTAATTTCAATTTGGTGCTTGTGTAAAATATTTTAATTATTTGATAATTTAACATTTTAATTAATCAATTTGATAACATATAAATGTTTAAATTCATCTAATAGATAATAAATTATACAAGTATAACAAGTTGAAAGATGAGTTATATATAACCTCTGCGTTTCTTATTGTAGTCATATATGTTAGAATTTTTTTTTAAATTATATAAAATTTCAAATAAAACTCAAAAATTATTATGTGAGATTGTTAAATAAAGATAAGGGAGTAAATTATATAAAATTTCAGATAAAATTCAAGAATCATTATGTGAAATTCACATAATTGTCAAATAGAGATAAGGGAGTTTTAGAAATATCTGACATTGACCGGAAATTTCAGCAGAATACTCTCTTAGTTTTGGTGCAGTGATTTTTCTTGGTCAAAATTACCGGATTCTCATCAACCTTTAACAAGATAAATTTAGTCTCTATTTATTAAGTTTATATTCTTTTATTCATATTAATTCTTATTTTTTAATTAGTAGTCTAAAGGCTACTAAAATTAGATCATTTTTATTGAGCTAACAAAATGTATGTTATAAATAATACATTTTTTAAAATAAATTTTTTAATAATATATATAAATAAAAGTTAACATTTTTATATCTTTTTTACCTGTCCTATTGTTTCCACCTCATAACATAAATGCCATTCATAATTTATGATACTAATCATTCTTTTTTCAATTTTTTATTTTTCAACTATTTTTTCACCTTCCTCGATGTTAAATTAAAATTCATTTTGTTTAACTTCTTCAGGTTTTTCAAACATCTATTGTTTTTTTGTATATACGTAGGAAGTCACAATCAGGTTACTTTGTTTTCAATTCCATCACTTAATGGTTGCTTTTCATTCAATTATAACTTTGAAAAGCCTGTGAAGATACTGTGTGTGTGTGTATATTACATAAGAGACTAGTATCGCCATGACTTGTGTAATCAAATGAAAATTCAACAATGGCAAAAGAGAAACCGTCTTGAACGAGAATAGTTTTGATGATAACCAGTCGTGTCATTGAATTAAACGATATTAAATTGAATTTCACACAATAAAAATAAAATTATTAGGACACAAATAAAAATTAAAATAAGAAGAAAATTAATAAAAAGTAAAAATAGAATAAAGATAGAAAATGACGCCACAATGACAAAATTGATAAGTAAAGAAACAATCGTCATAAGAATTTTGGCTTCTTATAAGATCAAAGAAAATTGGTTCACTCAAGAACCTAGAGTCGCATGCTCTCACAAGAGTGTTCAATCTTAAATTATATTCAAAACTAATTAAAAGTGTGTTTACAAGAGTTTATATATGTTTAATGCTTATAAATCAATACTAACATAAACTTTAATAAGCCTCTTCTACTAACAAGTTTAAATTCAAATAAACTAAATAAAAACTCAAAATAAGTAATAACTAGTATTAAAATAAATAAACTAAATATAATAATTAAATCATAATGAAACTCATTAGAGTTCAAATTTTCTAAGCATGTGTAATTAACTATATTGAACTTTTCCAACTCCAAATTAAGTTCTCTTTCAATTAGAACAGTAACAATCTTTTCTAAGTCTCTATTTATTTTCTTTGCCCTTGTCTTTGTCATTAATTCTTAAAGTCTTTCTAATGTCTTCAAGTCTTTGACTTCAACAGAACCTTCCTTGATTTTCATCACGTTTCTCCTTAAATTATTCTATAATCTTTGATTTACCCATTGCAAAGTAGAAAGTCATCCTCTCCAGCACCATACCATTCTCCATCAGAAATTTAGCTAGAAAAAGCTCATGCTGGTATCCTTGCACTTTTCCAAAATTCACGATGACATGCAGTGTAGATGTCAAACAATGAGGCATATGAGCAAAATTCAAAAGCTCTTTGTCGAAGCTAGAAGTCCAAATAAGACTGATAAAGGTAAAAGAGTGTAAGAAAAAAAAAGTGGTAACAACAATTCACAACCTTGATTCTATTTGTACACTAAGATTAGTGTGACCAGAGTCAAAGTCAGGATTTTACGGCACAAGGTGAAAGTGTTATGTGATTTTAAAAAGAAAATAGATTTAACTATCACATCATTCTACATTAATATCATATTTATTAACATGATTAGAAAAGAAAAGTTTAAAAGTATTACTTTGTACTTATGAAGTCAACAATGGTCATAAAAAGTGGGTTAGAACATAGAACATTTAATTTGTCAGGGGCACAACACTTTTATTAATAAAATAACCACCAAAGTCAGAGGTTAGATTGTTTGTGATTGTTTGTGATTGTTTTATATATTTATCAACGATTTTTACTTTTAATATTTAGTAACTATTTTCTCTTATGAATACTTTTAGAGGTATTATGTTGATATCAATGACAAGAATATTATATAAATTAATTTTATAATTTAATATCTTATTGATTTTAGCAGCATTTAGTACAATAGTTAACGAGAAATTCATTCATTAAAGTTATTTTAATATAAAAAAATCCATGTAATTGTCAATTGAAAAAAATGATAAAAATGAATTTTATATATTTATTTTTAAACTTTTAAAAGCATCTTTAATCATGACATAGACCAAAATTGCTTGACTATATTTTTAATAGGGGTCTTAACATGACAAATTGTTTTCTTATTTTTTAATTTAAGCAATTTTTTAATGGTTCTATTCAAAGTTATCCACATATTTATATTTTATCGATATCTATTTTTTATTTTAAAATTATTAACCTTGAAACAATCTAAGTATAAAAGGTATTTTAGCAGAAGAGCTCATGCTTGCACCCATGCACTTTGCCAAATTTCACAATCTGGAGTGTAGATGTCAAACAGAGGCACAGTAGCAAAATGCAAAAGGTACTTGTCAAACTTTGATATTCGCCGGTGATTATCATCAAAGTCCAAATACAAAAATGCTATTCAGATACTGTAAGATACAAGAAGATACGTGAAAGATGCGATAACTAATTTAACAAGAAGAGAGGTTAGAAATAAAATAAGGTGAAAGAAAGGTAAAAGCATTATAGAAGAATATGAATATGGTTTTTGTTCCTAACAATACAATGGAAAAAACGGGAGAGAAAATTAGACTTCTTATAATTAAAACTATCCAAGACTTAGTAAATGATATGATATGCAACTTCTACTGATATAATGCAGCCAGAGTAGAGTTGCCAGTTTCATTTACTACCTACGAACCTTGGAAACTAGATTAGCCACTTTTGCTTGTGCTAGTACCTGGTTGGCAAATAAAAAAACTAATTTGTATTGTTACACTCAACATATTTCCCCTAGTTTATGTATACAAGTGTAGATGTACATCTAGCTATGTGAATTTACATGCCAAAACATCAGTCCAGCATTTTATTTTAGTAATGTAATCAACTTTTAAAATAAAAAAATATATATTTTATATACTACAATTGACTACAGATTTGTGTAGAAAAATATAAATTTAGAACACGTTCTTAATTGATGCAAATTAACAGTATGATCTAGTTCTTATTGTACAGTATAACAAGCTTAACATCAGCATATTCAGTGTTACAAAAAAAGTTCAAAGAAAGATGCTTAATTACCTAATTGGATACATAACCATAAACACTAAAACTGAATTCTGTCTTGCTTAATGATAACACTTTCAAATAGAAACACTTTTAAAACACTAAGTTTTACACTTAAACTAAGTGTAATTGGTAAACTAAGTGTCAGATATTCTGAGCCACCTGAAGAGTTAAGGGTAAATACAATTCCACACAAACTGTAGGAGTTTTAGGTGTCCAGAATGAACAAAGGAGGCATGGTCTCTAATATCACAACAATCCCATCTTCAACATCAATTCTTCTAATTTCTTGAAGTTGAAAAGAGAATGAAATGTAAAAGCAGAGAAAGGTAACTCAAAATTTTCCATTCCAGTTCAACATGCTGGAATATCCATGTGGGTACATTTTACTTAATTGTTAGCAATAACAAGTGAAAAAACTTGAAGCTTAGTAAAAATTTCTCTATACATAAAATTTAAATAACACAGTTTTTCACCTGACTTTTTATTAGGAGAATACAATACACTATCATCTAAGTCCAACTTGGTGATGGATGTTCATCGGCATAGCCATTTCTTGGATAGAACACTTTTTCGAACTGCCCCTTTATTATAATGAAATCTATTGGATATATTTTTTTTCGATTGATATTAAAATAAATTTATTTAACATTTATTGAAAGTTATTGATGTTAAGTAATATTTTTAAAATTTTAAAAAAATTATTTATGCTGAAATAACATGAATTGGTAACATTGTTTGGTAAGTAATATATGGATTAGGTAATTAACATTCATGACAATCTATATATATTGATAGCTTTAGTTTATTTTATTATTTATAATATTAAATAATAGAAGAATGTAGGAAAGTTTTTATTTTCTTTCATATTTTTTTTTTCATATTATGATTTTAAAATTCCACTTCCCAACATCATCGTAGTGAACTTATTAGTTAACATAAATCGCACAACACACAACTCTTCTAATAATTTTAATAATTACTATTTTAGTAATACAAGCGAGATATATAAACAATTTTAATAATAATAATAATAATAATATATTGTCTCTACTTTTTAAAACACATATAATTAATAACAAGCTT